CTCTTCCGAAGAAATGCAAGTCTAGTCGCACAACTGCACTACTAGAAACAGATCTAAGAATCTTTGTTATCAGTAAAACACTGGTTACTTAAATGAGACATTCCTACACTTAATTTTTATTTTGCTACCAAGGACATTTTTATATTTCCATTTTTATCTTGGACATTAAAGTATCAAGTTAGGTTTTGTTTTCATTTCTTCTCAAAAACTTATCTTCCTGATTCACATGTTAAAACTCTGAGCTGCTAATAAGATGAAGATCAGCAAGAATTGTTTTTACTAAAACAATTTAAAAGGAACATACAGTTTTCTAAATTTCTGTAGAAAGATAAAAGAAGAATGAAATAGAATGACACTGATGGACTGACAGCACCCACACAGTCTACCCTGATCCTAACCTGACTCAGTTCAAAATTTGAACTTTGGTTCCATATTTGAGTCCAGCACGCAAAACTGTTTGCAGCCTTACAGAATCTATGGCTGCTTTAAAATATAAGGGCACTTACCTTTTTCTGTTCTGCTTTTGCCTCTAAGCCCCCTGATACTGATAACTGTTTCTTAAGTTCTTCCAACTGTGAGGTTAATGATGCAACCTTGGCTTTGTTTTGCAGCTTCAACTTGGAAAGTTTGGCATCAGCAGATTCCTTCTCCTCCTACAAACATCAAAGTAATGAAGGACTAGATTAGCTAGATGAACAACTGCATCTTTCAATTCTTCCATTAAAAAACCAAAGAAAAGAGAGAGAGAAGTCTAAAGTGATTACAAAAAAAACCAAACCAAAACAAAAGACACAACTTTCCTCTGAAGAGATACTATGTCACATGCAACAGGTCTGCATATATGAAACCACCTCCCTTTCATTAGAATCCAGGGCATTATAACATTAGAAATTTTCCTATTTTTTGATAGCAATACAAATTCAGGGCTTGATTTTTTAACAAGAAGAGTTAATTATTTTTTTTTGATACAAAGACACCTCCATAATCCTAGAAAAGCATATTTCGTTTTGTTTAAAGAGACAACTTAATTCACAATGAGTTTTAGAAAATTCAATATTTTAACACTTGGCCATCAGTGTCCACAGAAGACATTTTTTAAAAAGTGTAAAAATGGTTTGTTCCTGCAAGAGACTAACCTTATGACTGTTCAAAAAACAACAGAGTAAAGAATAACAAACCCTCAAAAGTCATAAAAGGATATTCAATATAAATTCTTTGTAGTTCCATCCATCCTAATGCCAGTCAAAAGCAGAGGATAATATAGAGGAGCATTAATAGTAAGATCATTACACAACAGAGACCTATATAGTGGAAGGAAAAATAAAAAAAATTATCTACCGAAATTCAGTTTGAGGTAAGCTGGCATCTCGCTAAATGTCCAGAAACAATTTGGATGGTGGCTGTCCTCATATTTAGCCTAATGTGACCATGCGCCTCTAGCTCTCAGAGAGTCAGTCTGTCCCTTGGAATTAAGTGCACCAACTCATGCAAGGAACACATGTTGCCTGTGTAATACCTAAATCCAGTTACAATTTTGGAACAGAAGACACACTGGCAAAAAGCGGTAATGTCCAGGAACCACAACATCCAATTGTGACCAACGTTTCCTGCGTTCCTAGAGCTGCTGTAACTGACTACAATCCTGTATCTAGGAGAACAGCTCATGAGGACTGAAAGGGGTTTTTAAACAGTCTTCTTTACAAGAATACGCGCACGGTACCTTTAACTGAAGATCTTTATTTCGAAGCTCAGCATCCTTCTCTCTGACAAGCTCCTTTAGCTGCGTTACCAGCTGTTGGGTACTTGTCAGCTGCTCAGTCAAATCCGTCACCGACATGCTTCTTGCATCTTGGGAGCCTGCAGCCTGCAGACATTAAGCATACTTTGATCAAACAAAATGGTGCAGACAATACTGCTTCTGCAAGAAAGTCGTCAGTTGGTGTTTGGGGATTTTTTAAAAGCATTATTAGAGTACAATAGTAAAACTTACATATACTATATGTACCTATACCAGACTGGTTTCAGCAAGTTTGATAGATACGTGAAATTATAAATCTTAGAAACTGGTTTTGGAATATTTCTTTGACATACAGCAAAACCATCAAAGCCTCTAGGTATCTATAACAAAGTTTCCTCATTTACTGGTTTTGCATCGTAACAACCAGTAGTAGTGTTACTGAACCTAGTGGCAACAACATATCGATATGGAACATACTATACTCAAAAATACACTGGGGATAAAGCTTATGTAGTTCCTACAGATGCTTTCTTAAAGCAAGATAAGCATAGTGAAGAGGAGTAGAGCAGCTGTGAGAGAGATTAAATACCAAGCAGACAAGAGACAAGAATCCAACCTGACTTTGAGAGTCCTAAAACTGAGTCATGGTAAAACTAGTTAAGCAACTTACGTACGAAAGAGCAAATATATATGATCATTATAGCATCAGTTGAAGCTTCTCTAAGTCAGAAATTCTTAAGAAAATATTACTTAATAGTAATTCAATACTTACTACTGTTTTGGAGGGAGAATCATCTCCGCTACCCCATTTCCACATAGTTTCACGATGGCTATGAAAAAGAAATAAAATAATACCAAAGTGACTCCCAGATAACTGTAATTAACTCATACTTCTCTCTACATATTTCACTGTAAAATGCTTGAAACTAATTTGTTCCATTCTGACAGCACCTCTGATCTCCACCACATGACTAGTTGTTGAGAAATAATGAAATTATACATAAAATAGGCATACTATGCCTTTGCTAAAAACTGCTAGTCAGTAAAATGTCAATACTATCAAAAATAATCCGAAGAAGTATTTAAAGAGTAAATGCCATGAAGTATTATTCAGCTCAGTTGCTTCTCCCACATATAAATAGAAGATACAAACCACATATAGTTTGCTAATATTTAACCTGGCCTTAAACACTGCCTGCCACTGCAATGTAACAGGGATTATATGAATACATATTTCTATAAAATCATAAATAAAAACATTAAAGAACATGTTGGACACGTCAACAGTTGGACTTGATGATCTTAAAGGTCTTCTCCAACCTAAACGATTCTATGATTCTAACACCAAACTGCACTAATTGCTGCATGACTGCTGCATGCAGCGTGCTGAAAAACATGATGAGTGGTGCAAGCCTTGAAGTGACCGGTCAGCATATAAATGCCTGCATCTGAAACCCCAGGATCAGCAAGCGTTCCTTGCTTCTTTTGCTCACAATCCAGTACTGCAAATTTCTAAATGGCACCAAAGTACCAGACATATCCATAGTTGCAGTTTCCGATCATGGAAAGCTGCAGCTTCCTAGTAAACACAAGTATAAGCCATAAGAAGGTTTTAAAAAGCAAAATCCTAAGGAGCGAATAGGTACACGGCAGCTCAAAGGTTAAAACTTTTACGGAACAATAGCAACAAACTTGGTTGAGAAAAAAAAATGGGTGAAGTCTATAAACTAGCCCATGACAATTCCAAATTGTGTCTTGGAGACATAATCTTAAAAGCAGACTAACTAATCTTGCTGGGCCTCTGGATAACATTCGCAATAGCAGCATGAAGTGAAAAGAGAAGCTGAACCTGTTCAGTAATTTTCACTCTCAACTAGCAACATCCAGAGGAAAATAATCTGTCCTTTCTCATCTGTATTACAGAATTATGACATATGCATACACAGACCTGTCCTGAATTTGGAAAACAGTTTACAATAAACATTAGCACAAAGCTTATCTTACAAAGCACGTGGAATGATAGCAGAGGCTGCATTTAAAGCCGTTTATCATTTCAAAACTAAAACTAGGAATCACAGACTGCAATCCACAGCCTACATTATCTACAAGGCCCAACTGGATTCTGCTAAGAATCTTTTCTAACCTTAAAAATCAACAAACGAGACATGGGAATTACAGAACTTGTAAGTAAAAACCTCCTTTCCTAGAGGAGCTCATACGAGTGAAAAGCTCATCTCCAGATACGTAAATGGGTTGCCCAGGTACAAAGAGAACAGGTGTAATGTGGTGGTGCCTTTGTGTTTAATTTATAAACATTTCCAGCTCTGACTGATACAATCACTTTTGCTCATATTCCTACCTGAATGCCTTAACTGTTACTTTCTGGCATGTTTTTATTTACATCAGGGAAACTAAATATTGACAAGTTTTACAAATCAAGCTGGGCAACAAAACTCACCAGTTTCCTTACCCAGCGTGAAATCAGCAAATTGGTTTTTGCTGTTCTTCTGGGGTAGAGACAGCAAGTTAAAGCACTGAAGGTGGTGAAGCTGCAATCTGAATGCAGGACCGCTCAGATCAATCCCTTCTCCTTGCAGTACATCTGAACACAATTCAGTTCAGTTTTCTATTACTATTTTCCTTCCTTTGGCAGCCTATGTCCTGGACACAGCATTATCAGGCATCAAGCATGAGAAACAGGGAGTCCGTATTATCCGTGGCTACCCTCTCTGAAGTTTTCACAGCAACAGATCATTTGTCTTTCCCCTGTAAGTTCAAACCGCTCACCCTCACTTTCAAGGTTTCACATTGCTTCATCACTGCCAGTACCTCATCCTGCTCTCCATCTTGTGTATTTGGTTGGACTCAATGATCTTAAAGGTCTTTTCCAAACTAAATGATTCTGTTCTATTCTACTGTGTTGACAACCATTCTTTGCCATCCACTACGCACTCATTTCTGTTAAACTCTTCTTCACCGAAGAACAGGCAGGAGAGTCAAACCTTTCACGAATTCCACAAGATGCAACAGAGGCCGGCTTAATTTTATGAAACACGTTTCTTCTGATGCTCAAAGTACAACTGAGGTTTCAGCTCTCATCGTAATGGGATGTCACCCACAAGAAAAGTCCCATTAGCAGCTTTGCCTTCACACTCATCCATTCATTTGTCCCAGCAACAGCTGCAGCCAAATCCAGCAAAAAAAAAAAAAACCCTAACCCAAACCAGTTTCCAGCCTACTTAACTCCCCTGAGTCAGATATCACAGGGCCCAGCACAAGGGGCACTTAGGAGGACACAACAGGGAACAGGATGGATTTCAGCAGCAGCTCATATTAAAATGGTCACAGGAGTCCTACAGCTTGAGGGTGACCAATCTATGTGGTTAAAATATTGAACTGCACTGTTACAAATACCTATTTGGCTGAGTATCCAGGCAGAGAAACAGTCCACTGACTCCCACAGAACTCACGTTTGTCTAATCTTCCCCACATCTATTAGAAGATCATTCTGATATTAAAAATGGCTTCAAAGAGCACTCAATTTGTGTTCTCACAATGAAGCATACAAGGTAGGACCTTTCCTCCTTCTCTTGCAGAAATACAGACGATGGAAGAAAACACCAAGGCAGAACTCCACTCCTCTTACTACCAAGGAAGGTAATGGCGGTCCCCTCTCTCCTCTCTTCCACAAGACCTCAGCAGAAAAGCAGGCAATAGCAGAAGTGCACAAAAACTCAGGTGTTTTATTATTTTAAATCCATTTCCTAGAACAATGTTGTGCTCTAGACGCACACGCTGAAAGAAACGCATTTCAGTATCGTTCTTTTCTCATTGTATAGGCACATTTTTGCTTTTATCCTTCTTTGATGACTTGCCAAGATGTTGGTTCTTCTGCTGAACAAGCCGCACTTATTTTCAAACGGTCTGTGCCATCTACGGCTTAAAAGCCCTTGGATAAAAACCACCCAGATGCACGGCACACAGCAAAGCAGCGCAAACACCGAAGCCGCGTTAATCAAACCACAAGCGCTCCGTAAAGTTAATATAACAGCACGTTTACATAGCTATGACTTGCGCCTATTCTAAACACTACTTCTGAACAACGCCGACCTCGTCCTCCCCTTACAGAGACCCAGAACACGGGAAGCACTGGTTTCCAGGGCGCAGGCCCCCAGTGAGGCGCAGGTGCGGTGCAGAGGATCGGCTCCTTCAGAGGATCCGGCCCGGGGCCTCTGCCCCGCAGCGCTCCCAGCTGCTGCGACTGGGGGTGCACGACACCCAGACACCCACACTCCCA